TATCAAATCTATCCCAACAGACGCGCGATAAAACCTAGAAACTAAATGCACGAGTCGTCAGTGACATATAGCTTATCTGCACGGACGTCAAAGTTTTAGATTTTAAGGTTTTGAATTATGATAATTTTATTTTACTTTTATTAGTGTCTCAGTGCTGGTAACGCACTATACTGGCTAGAATGTAATGACACTTAAAAACATGTTCTAAGTTCTTGTCTTATCTTAAAGATCGTCTATCAAGCGAGAGCAGAAGTTAAGGGACTGAAATTTTCTCTAACTAACGTGAAATATTGTAAGCTTGCTTCAAACAAAACTAGCTTCTCAGGTTCAGCTCGCTGAGTGGTGTTGACGGTACCAGCATTTCAGCGGTTTTTCCCACGCACTAAAAATACACGTTAATTCAGTGTATCAAACGATGCCGAAAAGTGATCCCCATCTCTGCCGCGGTGCAAGATATACTATTACATGGGTAAGTAGCGAGCTGGCTTAACTAACGGGGCGAATAATTCGATTTATTGTAACTCTGACTATAAGCTCGTGAAGAAGTAAATTAGGAAGAGACGAAACAAGCACTCTTCGAAATAACTACTTAGGCACGTTAGTGGTTTATGTGGGACAAGTGCGTCTACATCTGCAGCGGCGAATATTATATCAATTGCTTGAATTCGTTTCCTTTCATTGCCAGTGAAAGCAATCTAGCTGAAGGAACTCTATTGCCCTACTTTTACCGAGAATTCAAAGCATTAATGTGATAACTTAGGCAGAGATCAACAGCATCGTCGCTATATATTTTTTCCCTTTGCAATATTTTGAGCAATTCTTTTGGCAAGTCTTCGTCAGACGGACGCCTAATTTTATTGTACATATGAACATAACTATAAGAATTCAAAGTGGTTTCGAACTCTTGTGAATTATTAATTACCTGCAATATTTAGTCTAGCAAGTACATATGTAAACTGGCTTTTACGCGCTTTATTGTTTCACAAATTGGCATGATTCAGAACTGTACTTATAGTTTGCAGAAAATATTTTCTGCTTCGGATTTACGCGGGGAATCTCTTGAGACTTCCGGTCAAATTACTCCGTCTTTTTAAATACAGTTGCTATGTTTTTCTACGAATGGCTTTCAACTGGTTTATGCATCTCGTTATCTAAAAGCTTCGTATTGATGCATCCACAGAGCGGTTCGTTATTGTTTGCCACCTCCGACAATAGAAGTTCGCGCAGTGAGTCGCACATGGAGACGTTCCGTACGTTTGAATAACACTGAATAAATTGTGATCAGTTAAGAATATTAATGACATACGCCCATTCCGGGCCCTGGTCGGCATCATGTTATACGTTGTAAACATCGAAAATTTTACAAATGACAGTTATTGGGACTTGTATTCTGTAAAGAGACTTTTTGGCAATATTTAGCGCATTCTAGTTGCTTTATTTTTCGTGGACTTGATTCAATCCCAGACATAACAATACTGGGAAAATATATACATATTTTTTTTTAACAAATAGTACTGAGCTTCAGCGTGTTCATTCCGAAAATTGGCATTAAATCAGAAACTGTTTAACATTTGCTCTAAGTGGAATATTTACCCCTTCGACTTGTGACATGAGGTACCTGGCACGCGGTATGAAGAGTCCGTAATCCATTGGGTGATCAATGAATGTAAATTATACAATGAGTTTACTAAAAATATGTATTTGTATTTTCCTCTATTTTTAATCTTAATTTCAATCCGAAGGATGTAGAGAATGTCTAAGACCTGCGGCAACAATATTCTTTAAGACGGGTTTTTGGAAGAGGTATTAATCAACCAAGCCTGGTCAAGCTCGCTCGAGATTTTAGAGGCGCCAAGGCAGGACACTTTCTGGCTTCCCGCCTGTAACATCTGCGCTGTTACCGCGCGCTTATTTATTCTGGCTAACTGGTCGAGATTAAAATTTATAACGACGCAGTTTCTAAAGCGTGCTTGTAAAAACACGAGTGGGCTGTGAAGGCGTGGTGGCCTCATGGTTACTGTGCTCGTCTCCGGATAATGCAAGCGGTCCGGAATAGAAATACCTCTAGTTGCTTCATGCTACGGAAACCGGAGATAAGCGCTGGCCTGCTGGGCCACTTGACTCGTATACAGAATTTACACGGAGGAAAAGACTTCTTACAATTTCTGTCATAAAGTATGTGAGATACTACGCGTGCTCTCATTGGTTGATAGGTGTGTTTAGATCAGAGTGTGTAAACACGGTTGTGACGTTTTAGATTCGCGCGTATCGTTGAGAAACATTTTATAAAAGCAATGAAGCACTTTTTTCGTGTTTATATAGCCTCATCTAAACTCGCGGGGTGTTGGGTCAGTTCTCGAAATTTATACAAGCACTCGACTACGTTTCGGGTTTGCATAATTGTCTCAAATTCTCCGAACCCGTAGTGTTTACAAAGTCTATGTAAACACGGAAAAGGTACTCTGTTGCTTAACTATAGACCACTGAGTCGAGATAGGCCTAACCATAGCTCATGCTGGAACTTAACTTTCTTACAGCAAGTGCTTGAATGGAAGTCGTGGTGCGCAGGTCCGAGTGACTTGGGACTATGGACGTAACGCCAGATTGTAATGTCGCCAATTTATGCCAATTACAACCTTGACATGCAAAGAACATGACAGCCATCAACAATAACAACTTAGTTACACTAAG